CTGCAGTTTATTCTGCTGATGATATTGCTCATATCTGCGCTGGATTTCATGGTAGGCAGCTTTGTGGGTGAGGATACGGGTAAGTGCTAAAACACTCCTTCGTTTCTTCCATAATAAATCTAACAATATTACGTATTTTGGCAGAAAACGATTTCGATGGGTGGATGAGCGGAAATTTTATGGAAAATCTTTGGCCAAAATATGAACACGGCTACTCGTGGTTTCAAGTCTTTGGAGTATTCTTTCCCACCGTCACTGGCGTCTTATCCGGCATCAATATGAGTGGCGACCTCCGCGCACCATCCACAGACATTCCCAACGGCACGCTGGCCGCTTTTGGCACTTCGTAAGACATTCATTGTGATAGATTCCTCAATCGATCGACTTATTCGTTTTTGTTTTGTGCAGCACTTTCCTGTACTTAGTTTTTGTGCTGTTTTTGGGTGCAACATGCAAGCGAAGAGTATTATACACAGACTACATGATCTCTGTGAAGGTTTCGGCCGTTCACTTTCTGCTGCTGGCGGGTATCTATGTGTCCAGCATGTCGTCCTGCCTGGGTGCGATGTACGGCACGCCGCGCGTTCTGCAGAGTATTGCTAAGGAAAGCGTCATACCTGGTATTGATGTGCTGGGCAAGGGTGTACGTAAATAGCTCTATCTCTCTCACTCTGTCTTGTTGCTCACATTGCGTTGTTCTCTTCTATTTGATTTCATGTAGCGCGGACCTAATAAAGTGCCCCTGTACGCAATGGCCGTGGTGGCTCTGGTTACCGTAACCTTTATTATCGTAGGCGACATTAACTTTTTGGCGCCTATTGTAACGATGCCATTCCTGATGACATATGCCTGCATAGACTACGCCTATTTCGCACTGGCGCAAACCTTTGATATTCAGGAGCAGCGCGAGGAACGCTTTCGTATACAGGCATCGAGTCCAAGCTACGAGACTCGTCGCTATGGCAGCGTATCGGATGGGGGCAATGATCTGGATATGCTATTTCCGGATCGCGTGCGGCACAAGAACCTGCAGAGTCCTCAGAACTCACCGATGCATCAAGCGCAAACATTGCCAGCAGTGCCTTTAGAGAATATTGTAGACATCAATGAGTCAGGACCAAGCACTTCATCGGGTCAGGAACCAGCGGCAATGGCGGACGGCACTGGCGTGACCGTCGACCCTTCCACAGCACAGGCTGGCAGCGAAGCAGATGATGAGAACGAGCCCATTGCCCCGATTCGTCCGCCTATACATTCCAAGACGAAAAACTGGTACTCTGGCTTCTGCAATCGCTGGGCCTCGCTACTGGGAGTAAGTGGATAGTTTCCAACCTCTTAGAAGTTCACTTTAATCTTATATTTCTTCCTTCACAGGCACTCACCAAGCTGCTGGTTATGCTGTTGGTGAACTGGTATTATGCCTTAACCTGTTTTTTGGTCGTATTCGTTGTTTGGTTCTATGTGGGCACAGCTAATCCCGCCGTCAAGCCTGGCTTGACTGCAGAGTTCAACTTTTTTGGCTGGCTCAAGAGCGTGATTTTCCGTTGCTTTGGGTAAGGAACTTCAATAGCATGTGTATATTCGAAATTTTGTTAATATCAACTATTCGATTATAGAAAACGCATGCACGAGTATGAGCAAATTGTTGTGACACCATCTTGCCCAGGCGTGGATCTGTCGCCCACACAATTGAATGAGCAGAACGAGGACTTCAGGCCGCGTCCAAACTATCATCATTCATCGGTAATAGAGGGACGGCTGATAGACGACATCTAGACTTTTGGCCATGGGCCGTATACAGTGGGATCATGGGTTATTGGGAAACGCGGCAAGCAATATTTTGAGTGCATTTTGCTAACACTAAACTAATTCAATGATAACATACAAATGTAAAGTGCAACACTAAACGTAGTTATGTTAAATCCAGCACATGCATTTAGAAGCGATCTTCCCACACACACACACACACACTCAAAGACCGAACCCAGCGCACATTGCAGCTTTAGCTAAATTAAAATTACTTGTGTACTAATTATTTATTAATTGTAAGTTCAAGAATTTAATCTGCTTTTAATATGTTCCTTTCTTGTGTAAAGTCGTTTTGCTGATTTCCTATTGTTTAATTCTATAGAAAGCCTGTAAAATTGTTGCTTAATATATATGTTTCCATACGTTTTGTATTGTCTCAAAGCACATACATGCATAATTTATTTGAGGAAACATATGTGATAATGAGATAATAAGTAAAAACAATCAAAAACAAAGGAGAAACCCAACAACAGCCCAAAACAAAGCAGAAGCAAATTGTTTTGCAAATTTGGCGTTTTCGCTTTCTATGATACCACAAAGGCGAAAAATTATCAATGAAACTGATTTGATTGAAATACCTTATGTTCTAAATATATGTATCTTAACTCACACACACAAACAATACAAGCACTCACACACACAAAATTGATTAGCCATCGTCCGCAAGAGCCACGAAATCACAACCAATTCAAGCCCAATTCTTTAAATGCAAAACAAAAATAAGTAAGCAATAACAATTAAAAAATTATAACCTTCATAATGTATTACCACAAATATCTGCAATAACTTCATCATATATACCACATTACATATGTATGTATATATATTTATAAATATATATTGCTAGGTATATAATCAAATATTTAAGAAAATATTAACGGAACCCACATAAAACATTGCGCGTTATATTTCAAAAATATACAAAGCGTTTTACTTTTGGACGTACATACTTATATAGCATAAATTTAACCTAGTTATACAAAGAGCAAATAACGCATCCATGAACAAACTGAAAACAAAAATCAATTTATATGTAATATCAATATTAACTGAAATGTGTATTAAAACAGTTTAATAAACCAATATATTGTTTATATTACAGTCTGTGTAAGGCAATGAGTCCAATTGAAAATACAGAAGAGCATAAGAGATTGCGTAAATATGTTTCTGTTATTCTGTTTTACAATAAAAATTTTATCTGAGGCGCCGATTTTCAAACTCAATATATATCGATTATCATGGAAAAGCAGATGTGAAACCGAATCGATATATGCATACGGCAGCCCTGGTATGCAATAACTGCAGCCCTATAACCTCAAATCTAAGCCAATAGAACTAATATACAGTGGAGTTTTGTCATATTCCCAGCAAAACTAAATACAGCAGGTATATGAGGTTGTCCCGATAGCTCCAGCCAAACACCATGAACACCCTAATGCGCCTATCACCCCAGCTCCACCATTGGCGCACATATTGCATAAAACAATGCGCCGCAGCCGGTACAGAAGCCGCTGCTCGAGGTTGGTAAACAATAATAGTTAATTTGACGTTACTCATCTGAAATAAGTGTCACGTCGACCCACAGGTAAACCCAACTATGAGGAGTTCATTGGCAGCCGTCACCAGCAGGCGCAGCGCAGCATCGTGGTACAGGTCAGCTCTGAGAAGTCATACAACGAATTGTATAACTACTGCAGCCGATTCGGACGTATTGTCACTGTCCAACACTACTCCGTACAGCATGAGGATGAGCTGCACTATATGCTGCTGGAGTATGCCAGCGCCGGCGAAGCATCCGCCGCGATCAGTTCAAGTGCTTACAATGCAGAACTCAGCGGCAGTGGCGTGCCGGTACGCTCGCCGTTCCTTTGGTTTAGAGCACCAACTGGAGGCGCTGGTAGACGGGGACAAGCTAAATTGGCGGCTAATCAGAAAACGCTGGCGCTGCACACAGTCAACGGCACGCGGTCATTGAGCCACGAAGCCTTGAAGGAGCTATTGCGCGGTGCCGCTGGCATCGATCAACAACTGAATCTGCTGTACGAACAGACACGTTTGAATGAACTGGGCGTGCGCATGCGCTTTATTGCTGCGCTCCAGGTGGAACAGGCCATCTCGGGCATGTTTCCGGATGCGTTGGCACAGCCATTCGGATCCTCGGTGAATGGCTTTGGCAAAATGGGTTGTGATTTGGATTTAATATTGCGCTTCGATGGCAAAACCCCAGGCACAGACCAAGATAGTCAACGCGAAGCATCGCGTCTCATATACCACACTAAGGAGAATCTAAGCAATGGACGTTCGCAGACGCAACGACAAATGGAGTGCATTGGTGATATGCTGCATCTGTTTCTGCCCGGAGTCTGTCATGTGCGGCGTATTCTGCAGGCGCGTGTGCCCATCATCAAATACCATCACGAGCACCTCGACCTGGAAATTGATCTATCAATGAGCAACCTGTGAGTAGTGGATAAACAACTATATTCATTTATTAACTTGATATTTATTATAACTTGATATTCTTACAAAAAGTGCCGTACATTGAATAGTTTCGATATGGTGTAGGAGCGTTAGTAGGCTAAATTTGGCTTCATTCTCATGGTTTATTAACGTACTTATTGTTCGAAATGAAAACTTAACTCCATCAACGATGGATGTAACTCCTTGCACTGTGCGCTCGCTCAGGTACTTTTTATACCCTGAACCCATTTTCAATGGGAAATCAGGTTATAATGGTTTTGTTGAAATGTATGTAACAGGCAGAAGAAGGCATGGCAGACCCCACAAAGTATATATATTCTTGATCAGAGCTGAGTTGATTTGGCCCTGTCCGTCTGTCAGTCCGTCCGTCTGTCCGTCTGTCCGTATGTTTGAACGCGTCAATTTCCGAAGATATAAGAGCTAGAGACTTGAATTTTTTTTTTTAAATGACCATGTATACAGCGCGGATGTCGAGTTTGCTTTTAAAATTCGATAAATCATCCCGTTATGTTTATCGAATAAAAACATTCAAGTTCAAGTCAGATGCCACTATAGCTAATTTTTCATTTTTTTTAATTTCTCAAATTTTGTTCGAGTCCCAAGCGCTGCGACTTATGTTAATTTTTTTAATTGGTTCAAAATATTTTTATATTTTAAATACATCGAAATTGAAATTTTAGCCATACTAAATGGGCATTTTTATTAGTTGGGCTCAGGGTAGTATCTAGTCGAGCACCCTCGACTAGAGTTTTCTTACTTGTTATTAGTTGGGTTCAGGGTAGTATTTTGCTTCATTACGCTTAAAACTTAGTTAACTAAATGGTTGTTATGTTGGCTTTATGTCAGCTCTTAGCGTCTGTAGTTGCTGGCCTGTTCCTCCTCCTTCTTGACGGCCTGGACCAGAACAAAGCTCATAACGCCACAGATCACCGATAGCATTGCCATCACCATGGCCAGTCCCACAATCCAGGAAGTTTTGCCCTCAAAGAACCAGGTCAACTCGTCCACGCAGCCACTGAAGAAGGCATTGCCGCTGACGGTGTCGCGGCACGAGCTGGGCAATGGCTGGCGCAAGTCCAAATAGTCCCACGGTCCGCTGGCACCGCAGCAGCCAATATTCTCCTGGATCATGGTCAGCACATAGTTAGAGTAGGAGTACTCAGAAGTGGACACAAATCGCCGCAGCGACACATTCAGCAGCGGCTGCAGGCTCGAATTAATTGTACTGTACTGCAGCAATATGGCCGAGCCGGCCACAGTGGCAATAAAGCCGAATATCTGTGTGCCAATGAATACGAAGAGAGCCAGTGTGTTCTCCATGAGCGCACTGAGACAGCCCAGAAAGCTGACGGCCATCATGATGATGCTGATGGCGATCAGCACATAGACGCCAATGTAAAAGGCCTGCGCCTCCAGGATGCGCAACCAGTCATTGAAGCCCGGCTCGGCACGCAGCCAAACGGTCAAGGCGAACAGCGCCGTCGATATCATCCAGGCGATAATGTTGAAGCAGAACAGCGTGTACTTCACGCAGCCGATCTGTTTTTCCAGCTGCTCGTCGGCAGGTCCATAGCCAATGCCCATTGTGGAAGGCTGCAAGAGAGTTGGAGATCAAATTATTGGCTTCAATATACCAAAGATTCAAATTTATGCAATTTTCCACCTGTCCTACAGTAATAAACGTAACTGAGTCAGCGCTAGTATAAATTTCTACCCATATCACGCCCAACTGTTAATCACTCGAGCTTCCGATGCCTCCTTCTCTGTGCCCAGGCCCAGACCCACGCTGAAGGCGGCCAAGTCACTTGGCCTTATCAGCGTTGTGTTTAGCAAATACCATTATCTCTCTTTGGGTGTTTGGTTTCGTTTCAGAGCGAAGCAGTGGCATACACACAATATGATTAATATATAGGTTTTCTATTGCAACACTCGTTGAATTTCAGACCAAAAATATTACCAAACTCTATATGAAACATAAGTTTTCTGCTGTTTTATTAATCACATTCTTAACCAACGAACAAAAAAAAAAAAACGATTGGGCCTTTTCCATTGAAGGTCAATTCATTTGCACAGTTATTTAAAAATAAAAATCAGTTTTTCTTTCTTTTTTTTTTTATAAATATATCTATAATTTTTTTTTTTTTTTATTCTACACTGAATGGAAATTTAGTTGTTCACCTTTTTGATTGTTTATAGCTCGAAAAAAGTGTATAAATATATAATATATTTTATACGCCGTTATCGGAACTCCGTTTGGCTCGTTCGTTAAAATCGTTTTGTCAGGAAATGCCCGTATTGTATTGTATCTGACCAAGTTGATATAATTAGAAATATTTCAGAGGGGGAGGTCCTAAGATAAGATAAGATAAGCATACGCTGCGGCTGAGGCTGAGGCAAGCCAAAGCTTTTGTTGATAAGATTAGATAACAACAGTTGCCGATTGCCAAATGGCATATAAAACACACATAACGGGATAGTATTGTCATCCCTTTTGCCCATGCTGCAGGTGAATCAGTTACACTTAATATGCCTCCCACCACATTGGCATTCCGTTTGTGATTCGATTATGATTCACAATGTCGGTGACGCTGATGAACTAGTTGCTGATAAAACTAAGCCCACAATGCATTCAAAACCGTATCCAGTCGGTGGAGATGGTCAGTTCTCCGTATGAAATGCCACGCCCTGGCGCTCTATGGCAGGTGAATCACAAAGCACGAAAGCTTTGTATCTTTGTGACTTGAGGAAACTAATAGAATCTCATAATTTTTTTTAACTAATGGAAATGGAATATGGTTTCTTAGAACAGCTCTGTTGCTATGACTAATATTATTATTTATTTTATTGTATTTTTATGTTAATTATTGGAAATGGAAAAATCATGGTCTAGATAAAGGTTTTATATGGATTATTCTCCTACAAACAATAACCAAACGCTCCTCTTAGCTTTACCTTATTAAAAGTAAAAGTATTTGAATCTCGACTCACTGGATATACTATATTCCCTTACAGCACTGGCTTCTTCATGTCCGAGCTGCTGTACATGTTTGGAGAGATGGATCCGCGCGTGCGGCCTTTGACTTTTTGCGTGCGGCGCTGGGCGCAATCATGTGGCTTAACAAATCCGTCGCCAGGACGCTGGATTACCAACTTCTCGCTGACCTGCCTGGTCATGTTCTTCCTGCAGCAGATGCGGCAGCCCATTCTGCCGTCGATTGGAGCAATGGTGAAGGCCGCGAACACAGCGGACATTCGGGTCACTGAGGATGGCATCAATTGTACCTTTGCGCGGGACATGGAGCGTGTGGGCTTCCAAAGTCGGAATACGAGCAGCCTGAGCGAACTGCTCCTACAGTTCTTTGAGTTCTACTCACAGTTTGACTTTCACAATCGTGCCATATCGCTGAACGAGGGCCGCGCCCTGGCGAAGCCGGATCACTCGGCAATGTACATTGTGAATCCGTTGGAGCAGCTGCTGAATGTGAGCAAAAACGTCAGCCTGGAGGAGTGCGAGCGACTGCGCATCGAGGTGCGCAATGCTGCCTGGATGCTCGAGTCGGAGGTGGAGAACGCAACACTCTCAGAGAGCGAGCGACGAGAGCAGTCCTGGGGCCTGCTCAACCTGTTCAAACATCCCGAGAAGTCTGTCATACGCCCGAACATGTTCTTCAAACCGCGCATGGTCGAGGTCAGCGATCTGTTTGACAAATCCCAGACGTTAGCGCCTACACCGCCGCCCGTCAACTACAAAAACCCCACCGTGCGCCAGCAGGTGCAGAGCATTAAGGCAGCTGCACGCAGCGAGCTCAAGCAACTGCGTGAGTCCAGCACAACGACGACGGCGACGGCGACGTCCGCAGCTAAAACCAAACGCAGCAGGTGATAACCGGCGGCATTTCTGTAGACAAATCCCGGCTTAGTGTATATATTTTTATATATAAATAGATAGTAACTCCACTCTGACTACATATTTTTAGCTATCTAAATGTTGTTCATATTGTTAAGCGTTACGCCCCAAAACGCAGCCATGTGGGCGTACAGTGTACGAGAATGCTGCAGCCTTGTATATGCAACTCGTATGTGGCGGACCCAGGGGAATTGTTTCCAAGCTATTCCTGTCTGCACCACCTACGTTAAGCGTTAAGTATTGTAGTTGTTTTTTTTTTTTTTTTATATAATAATTTAATAAAATTAAAAGAAAGTGTTAAAGTTAGTCAATGTTTTGCAATGAGTCAGCTGGGTGGGCTGTGTAAAATAAAGACAGAATATTTTATGTATTTGATATGTAGTCCTTAAATATAACATCTGATATATGTGCCAAAGATCCCATTCCAAAGGCTATGTGAGTCTGAGAGGTCTCGCGAATGAAATACGAAGCTACTGAAATATTTTATAAATAGATCTGAATAAATGAATTTTACATTGAATACATTATAGAAGCATTCGCTTAGGAGGGATCCATTGACTGTTCGGTCGAAGAGTCTCAAATTTACATAGGTTACGATCTATTTATAAAGAGAGAGACGTAAGTCAGACAGGTATTAGTTTCCACACTAAATATTTCTAGAACCACTTATCCATAACATCTGTTGGCTCAATATTATTGCATAGAAATACATTGTAAATATATATGTGTATATAATATAGATACTTAATATGTATATCTATGTATATTCAAGCAGTTAGTCAAATTGTGATTAGATTTTCATAATTGCTCAATTTATTCAGTTTTGTTTTCTATAGTTTTTGTTCTTTTTCTTTTGTTTTGTAATTATCTATAATTAGGGCAAAGTCTTGATCGTTAACAACACGCCTCATGCTATATATTCACGAAATGTTTCTCGTTCAACTTTATGTTCTCACATTTCTCTTGTTGTTCAACTATGTTTTGTAAATGTTTAAAATGCCACAAGTTAGCACGCGTAATTTGATTCAACATATATTTGTATATATATGTGTGTATATACAATATATGTTTGTTTGTTTCTTTGTATTAATACAAGTACGAGTGAAAGTATGTACTTATGCATGTATGTATGTGTGTGTGCATAACAAGACACAACATATATAAATATTTATATCTGGATGTCAATGTGTACTTATGTAAATGTTTACGATATTTTGCGTGTCTGTGTGTGATTTCAGTTTCAATGTTTATTTGATATACATTTGTTGTTGTTCTTGTTTTTTTTTTTTTTTTTCTTTTTCTTGTTTGTTTGCTGTGAGTTTCTTGTTCTCTTTTTTATTATAACATACATATACCTAAATAAATATGAATATTTTGGTTATTAGTTGATGTGTCTTATGTTGTTTTTTCTTTCTTCTTATTTTTTGTGTTTAGTTTTTGCGCTTTTAGTTGTAATATCGTTTGTCTAATTTACAAATATAATGCAACCGGTTATTGCTTCTGATTCTGCTTTTAAACTTTAACTGTACTCGTAATTAGGTAATTATGTAAGTATGTAAAGCACGTTTCGCATGTGTATGTAACGTTTTTATTTCCATGTATTTAATTTTTTACTGTTATTTCTGTTGTTGCTGCTGTTGTTGTTACGGCTGTTATGTATTATGTATTGTTGGTTGTTTGCCATACGCTAAAGTTATTTAAAATAATTTACATACATTAATTAAAGAAATTTAAAACTGTAATTCCTAGTTAATAGGTACAAAATATTGTTTGTCATGCGCCACGGTGAGAGGAAATTAAACGACAAACAAACGCCTAATCATATTCATATACACATACATATATATTTTGGTATATATATATACATATATCTGTTAAAAAAAAAAAAAAAAACAAACAAGAGTCCTGTTCGTGTGGACAGTATGGAAGCCAGCCCAAAGAAACATTGGGTGTTAACTGTATAGTCGAAACAAGGCAACCTAATTAGAGCTCTCGCTTGGCGGCCACTAGACAATAATTTCAACGGCATCATTGAACGACGCGTCGGCTCATCTAAACCAGAGCTTCAGGCGCAGCGCATCGACGCCGTTTAAATAGTAACGAAAAAGTCGTTTATCACGCACAAATCCCAAGTTCTCATACAGACGCAGCGCTGGCTCGTTACGCATCTCCGTTTCTAGCACCACTTCATCAGCATTGTCCGCTAGCATAGCCTGAAAGGGGGAATGACTCGAATACAGTTAATTGTCCAATTATCTGGACACACAGACACTTACCTCAATGGCTTTGGTCACGAGCGTGGTGCCAATTTTAAGCTTGCGATACTCCTTGCGCACCGCCAGCATCGCAATGTAGCCGCGCCTCACATTCATATGCATGTCCAGCTTGCATACGATGGCGCCCACATATTGATTATCATGCGCGGCGAGGAAGCATAGTTTTGGCCAATTGTAGATGAAGTAGCGGTACGTGTATATCGAATATGGCTCGGACAGCTCTGCCTGTATCAGACGCATTATTTCCTGCAATAGATCGAAGGTGTGTCAAATTACGCACAATATGCTGTGGATGGAATGACATCACTTACGTGCATTTGATGCTCGGCTTCGTATTCCTTATAAACTATCTCATCGGCTGTAATGGCAGGTTTAAGCTGGAGCTGTGTTTGTTGTTGTTCTTCTTCTTGTTCTTGGGGCTGTGCCGCAGTGGCGCCTGCTCCGGCAGCTGCCGACGTCGAGGGCGCCTCATCTTGGGTGCTGTCCGCAGCGGCAATCTTAGCTGTAGTTGCTGTTGATGTATGTGTGTTGGCAGTGCTTGTGTCACTTGTGTTGCTTGTTGCTACCGCGGCTGTTAATGATGTGTCGTGCTCTCCGCTTTCCGAATCCTCTATTGATGCCTGGGACTTGTTGTTGTTTTTCGCTTTACTACTGCTGCCATTGTTTTTTCTGTTGCGGCTGCTAGAGTTGATGTTGTTCACATCGTTGTTATTGTTGCTGCTGTTGTTGTTATTGTTTATGTGATTGTTGTTGTTGATGGCAGCGCTCTTATTGGCATGCCCATTGACCGTGGCAGCCACAGAGGACGATTCAGCTGTCACCTTTGGCCCGTCTACAGCATGGCCATTAAACAGCTGCACCTGCTCCATAAGGCTATTGATTGCGGCCATTTCATTCGCAGAGTCGACATGCCCATTGGACTGGTGTACAACAGCCTTGACTCTTGCTGGTCCTTGTGCTGGCTTTGCCTCCGGCTTCTGTGGCTGTTGTGTCTTCTTCTTATTTCGATACTTCTTCTTGGAGGCCGTCGCAGTTGTAGCTGCTGTCGCCGTGTCCGCCATGGCCACCTGAGTCGCCGCTACTGAACGAAAGTAATATTTTAGT